GCGATATGGGACTTATATCTACGTATGCAGCCATGCATGTGTGTCGTTGGCGCCTCGGCTGCTGACACAGCCCTTCCCATGCATACACACAGACATGCACACAGGCAGACAGGCACAGCATCCAGCGTTTTCTGGAGTATCCATGTACGCTTCGTGCACACACACACACACACACACACACAGAGAGAGAGAGACTCCCGCCCTGAATAAGTCGCAAAAAACGCTTAACAGAGAAGTGCCCTTTCTGCCTGGCTGGCTGTCTCTTTCATCCTGCCTTCTTGTTGTTTTTTTCGATGCAGGTTGTCTCCCGCTTCGTCCTCGCCCTGCCCGCACGCAGACACAGACACTTCCTGACACAGACACACGCACCCACGCACCACTGGCTCAGCGGCGGACTGAACCAAAACCGCCGCCTGCTACAGCTGCACACACCGCCCCCGTCTCTTCACTACGTTTTCCAGCCCCCCACCATAGCCGACTACATTGATTGAGAGTCAATGAGAGGCACCCACGAATATTCACCCGGTGCTACCCGACGGGCGAGCCATTGAAACACGCGCATACACAAGTCAGTCACAAAACAGGTATGGATGGCATGAGGGTCAGGGTCCCTCTTGGTATCCTTCGCTGCGTCTCGCCTCGGAGGTCCCCGTTGTGGTGCTCGTAGCGACTGACGACCGGCGTTCGGCGATGCCCTTCAGTGTTGGCGTCAGGGGCGGAGTGACGGTGGTGGGTGTGGTGCCGCCGGTGCGGCTGCGGCGCAGGCGTCTCGTGCCCAGAATCTGCGTGTAGCGCATCCTCAGCCGCGTGCGGAGCTTGCGGAGGCTCGGCCGCTGGGCGACGCTGCCGCCCTCATCGTCGGTGTCGATGTCCTCCCCCAGGTTGGCCATGTACGAGATGCCTCTGCGAAGGGCACCCACGCTCTGGCTGCGACGAGGGACGGGCGTGCGCGATGGGACGCTCAGTCGCTGCTGTAGCGACACGGTGGACGACCGCTGGAGATGATACAGATAGGAGGGGCTGGCCTCCGACATCGCGAGGGTGGGTGTGAATTGGCCGTCTCCTGCGAAACGGCGGTCCTCAAGCGGGTGCTCGGGGTCTCGCACCATCATCCTCTGCGGCAGCTCCGGTTCCGGCTCCATGGGCATGCCCTTGTATGGGTCATCCGAGTCGTCGGACGCCAGCGACAGGTCGTCCTCGTCTGCCTGCGACTGTGTGGGGGACTCCTCCTCGTCCATGGCATCCTCCGCCACCACAGGGTCGACGTTGGACACGCGGCGACGGAGCTCGTCGAAATTCCACGGTTCCCTGCAGGGAGGCATTTCGCATGTGCATGTGTTTCGTGATCCTTCATCCTTTCGTTCTTACTGGAACAGGTGGTGTCTGAATCTCTCGCCGGACGCGTCGGGCCGTGTAGCGATGACAGCATAGACGATGAAGGCGAGCAGAGGGGCTATGAGCAGGAGAATGAAAATGGCACCCGTCCACGTGCGATACTGCAGACATCAATCAAGCAAAGACAGAACCGATACGCCGCCCCCCGTGCGTCTCCTTTTCTGTTGTGTGTCATGCCTCGTCAAAGAGCCCTTCGGTGTGGAGCTGGCTGAATGCCGTCCACAGGTAGAGCACCAGCAGGCACGCAGCGCATAAGATAGCGTACTCGTTGTTGCTGCTGACGAAGTACGGCCGATACGACAGCAGACACGCCAAATAGAGGCAGGTCACGGCACACGCCTGCAATCCAACCATGCAATCGACGATAGACGGATGTCTGCTGGCTGGTCTCGCTCTCACTCACCACCAGGAGCTGCCATGGCGCAGGAGTGATGACCACCGCGGCCAAGCTGACAGGCAGGCACACACAGCGACAACATCCGTGAAGTGATTGGTGTATGTTGGTTGTCGTGACTGCGTATAGGAATCTGAGGATGAGTAGCCCCGCCTCCCACCACCAGAAGCGCGGGCAGTACTTGGCATACAGAGGTGATATACGTGACAGCATCGGCGTCTGCAGCACAACATAGCACAAAACCACACACTCAGACAAGAGGCTGCTTTGTTCCCTGGGTGCCATGTCACCTTAGTAGCAGGCCGTCTGGCGAGGACCTCGGCGAGGTCGTTATAGTTGATGGCTCCCTGCAGCCACTTGCGCACCGCCACATGCACCACCCCCTCCAGCTCATCCTCATCACCCGGGCCCCCCGCAGGCCACCCGAAGCTGGCCGTCCGACCTTTGCGGAATGCCAGCCCCGGATTGTCCCCCGCTGCACCAGTGTAGCAGCTGCGCAGCCGGTCGATCACGGCAGCAAGGCAGTTTTTGATCCAGCGCCACAGCTGCTCAGCCCGGTCCTCGACCACCTGGAGGCCCCTGAGCACGCCCAGCATGCAGGGGGTGGAAGTGGTGAGCATCTGCTTCGACAGCGTCCTGTTCAGCCGCGGCTTCTCCTTCGGCGGGGGGGACGCCAGCTCTAGGAAGGTCTGTCGGCGGTTGTGTGCCTCGGACATGGTGGGTGTGAGGCTGTTTGACCCGCCGAGCTGCTGCTGGTGTTGCTCGAGGTGTGGGTGGCTCTCGGCCAGGTTGACGGAGAAGGTCATGCGTCTGCTCTCGAGCTCGGCAGCCACGGCTGCGGATATGGCCCACTCCTCTACAAGCTGGATGGTGTGGAGTCTGTCGCGGCGGTTGACGGGCACCTCGATCAGAGGATTTCCCACCGTCTTGCCGTGCTGCTGCTGCGCACCGCTAATGTTGGAGACCACTAACTCGGGCTTGCCCTTTTGGCGCACACTGAATGGGGCCAGCAGAGTCCGGTGAGACCACAGCTGGCACAGGAGAGAATGGAGGGAGGAGGAAGGACAAAGAGACAACGGCGACGTACATCCGTGAGTGAGTGTTTTCTGAGGCTGTTCCCCCACCAGTGAAGAGAAGTAGACTGGGACTCCGATGACGTAAATGAGCATCATGGCGACCGCATAGCCCCACAGGTAGAAGTACTCCTGTTTGCACACCACAGACAGTCTCCATGAACGCATCAAGGGATCGGGCCCCTGTCCTCGTCTCACCTGCGATTGGCATGAGAGCGAGTAGTCTGCGAACAGGTAGGAGGCCCCGTCCTCGAAATCGCCGTCGCACCAGAAGAACCGAAGCAGTGACACAGCAACTGCCACAGCGCGTACAACCGCCCGGTATGAGTGACTCTGTATATGTTCCCTCCGCGTGGTACGTACCGGCGAAGTAGGCGAAGTTGAAGACCGTGACGGTGATGGGTGTGACCTTGCTGATCTCCTCCAGCCACACGTGCCCCAGCCCCGTGGTCACTTCACCCATCCGCCCGCTGCGTCTCTCCCATGCGATCGACACCACACGCACCGTAGCCATGATAACAAACAGCAGGATGATGGCCAGTGGCGTGAGGGTGATGAACAGCATCCGCGAGATGTAGTTGAAGCCCGCCAGCCCACAGCTCAGTCGGAACACCCGCTCCCAGTCAATGTTGAAGATGGCCAGCGACGCAGCCGCCTCGGCGACCGGCAGCGCAGACGCACATTCAACTCGGGGAAGGACGCTGGACAAAACACACAGATGGATTGAGCTAAGGGGGTATGCAGGCAGGCAATGAGGTCCCCACTTACCGGCGAGCTGTAGGAATATGATGAGGATTTGTGTCTTGGGTCTCATGTAGCGGATGAAGTAGGCCCACATGTTGCCCTGCGTGCCGCCGTCAGCCGCCAGGGCGTCTCTGGCGCCCTGTGGTGAGACGGTCACGCGGCCCCCCTCGACTGCCTCTCGCGCGCGCGGCCTGTCTATCGTTTGGATGAGCAGGCGGCTGGCCAAGAGCAGCAGCAGCCCCACCGCCACCGCCATCATTATCTGGTCCAGAGTGGTCCTCCCTTCGTCACATCGCACACACATACGGGTCTGCACACACGAGCACACAGACACGATGCCCGCCACAGCGCCGTTCCCATAAACGACTTACGAGTTTGGCGTATCCTTTCTTGCACACAGCGCATAGACGTCCCTCGTATCCCTCTGCACAGTAGACGTCAGACCACTCCTCCAGCTGCTGCAGGGCCCTTGTCGACTCGCCCATGATGTTGTGGGTCAAGGTCTTGTTAACACGGGTGGGTGGGGCGCCGCTGCAGCTCGACAGCAGCGGACACAGCCGCAGGGAATTAGACTTGGGCGTCAGGCGCCAGTAGCCGGGCCTGCATACAGGAAACAGAGCAAGGAATGTATGGCGATACTTCGCCCGTGCTCAGTCTGCCTTTTTCTTCTCCTCACGCACTTGAGTCCAACAGTGCTGATGTCCAGTGCCACACCATCGCAGTCCATGCCCTCCTGGCACTCCTGACAGTCCTCGAGGGAACTCCCACTCGACCCATCGCCGTCGTCCGAGTCCTGCATCGTGCGACATCGCTGATCCTCCAACGGAACGGGATCGAAGAAACCTGACCATCACAGCACAACACAACACAACACATCACATCACAACACATTTCCTAAGGGTTTTTTTGGGCCTTTTGCTCGCTGGCTGGGACACTGACCGTTTTCGCACAGGCACTGGCATTTCGAGATGGCGCCCGTCTGGAGCGTGACTCGACGCGGTGGGCAGCTAGCGCACTGGCTGACGGTTGAGGTGCGCGAGGCGATGGTGGGGTTGTACGTGTTGAGCGGGCACAGCTCGCACATGCCGGGGAGGACCTCATACAGACCCTTCTCGCAACGACAAGACTCAACTGCATGATATGTGGCACACGCAGAGATAATAAACACCAGAACACAGACAGGGCAGACATAAGATGAGAGCCAGAGTTCAGCCAGCTGACCGGATCGATGGATTCGCTCCGACTTGAGCGTGACTGTGTGTTCCGGGCAGGGTCTGCACACCTGCAATGAATGCACCGCACCACACACGCACACGCATCCGAGCAAGCACGACTCTGGCGTTCCGTTCGTACCTCCCTCCCTCCCTCCCTCCCTCCCTCACCTCAGTGGCGTATGGGTGATCGGTGTCGAGTGACGAGTATGTGTTGTCGCCGCACGGCTGACACTCCGTCCCGGTCCCGAAGTACCCCGGCTTGCAGCGGCAGAGGGCCGTCTCGTTGAGCGACGGGTCAGACGTCACCTTGTCGCACAGAGTCGTGCACTCGTACGTCGCATCGGGCGACACTGGCGTGAATCCATCAGGGTTGGCAAACACCACCGACTCCGCCCCTTCCGGCCCGCTCGACTCGCGCTTTTCACTCACACTCCTGCAGCTCAGCAGCCGGCCCTCCTCGTCATCATCCGACGCGATCATACGGTGCACGGGCCCGCGGAGCGATGGGTTGTCCGACAGGTCGAAGCCCGGCCGGTGTAGCCAGTACGTGGCCGGCACCAGCTCCGACAGATTATTGCCGCGAAGATTCCACCCGATGAAGTTGGGCAGTTCGGCGGCTTCCGCGAGCACCAAGGGGTCCAGACGCACCGACGTGATGGCGTTGAAGGACAGGTCGAGTCGCTGCAGACTGCGAAAGCCGAACGAGACGGCGCTCTCGGCGAGGGTCTCGGCATCCTGCCGCCGCTCGAAGTCCGAGTAGCCGTCGGTCGGTGTGTTGCTGAACGTGAGAGCCGCTTCCGTTATCGAGCCGTGGAGGCCGCACGAGGACGCGCGGACGACCTGGAGGAAGTCAAGCGAGTTGAGAGGGGTCAGCAGCTTGGTGACGTCACAGTTGATTGGATTGTTCGACACGTCGAGCTCGGCCATCTCGGGCCACTCTATCAGGACAGAGAAGGACTCTTCCTGCCGCAGCAGAACGTCGAGGGTGGGGGTGCCCATAGCGTAATCATCCCGCTCCTCAAGAGCGCCATCCGTGTCGTTGTCGGGTGCAGGGGCCTTTCTGTCCTCTGGCGGCTGCCATTCGGTGAGCTGGTTGTTGGACAGGTAGAGTTCCCGAAGTGATGATGAATTCCACCAGCCCGCAGGGATGCCACCCGTCAGCTGCGCGAAAGACACGACAGAGACAATCCAGGGAAGGATCGACTTGCACGCAGTGGTCCCATTCCCTCCCCCCACCTTGTTGCCACTGAAGTCGGCCACCCGCAGCACGCAGCATGGCGGCGACTTGGGCAGCTGGGTGATCTTGTTGTCAGAGAGGTAGAGCTGCTCGAGGTTGGGGAGGGCCTCCCACTCATCGGGAATGGCTCCCTCGAAGTTGTTGTTGCGCAGGTCGAGCTGAATGAGGTCTGTGAGGTTGGCAATGCTGGCGGGCAGCTGGCTGGAGAAGTTGTTGCCGTCGATCAACAGGTCCAGCAGAATGGGCAAGTTGCCGATGGACTCGGGGAGGGGGCCGTAGAATTTGTTATTGGAGAGGTCTAGATAGTCAAACTCGGGCAACACAGGGATGTCCTCGGGTAATCGACCTTGTGGATACACGGATAGGCGGACAGGTCAATAAGCACACATACAAATGTACAAATCTGTCCATCTCCCCACCTGTCATCTGATTGTTCCCAACGGCGATGTCCCACATTCTTGTGAGACGCCAAATTGAGTCCGGTAAGGTCCCTATACACAAAGCAATAGGATGGACCCTAGCAGCCCCTGAGCGGCTGGCTGCTTGGTTGCGCTTCGTTTGCGCACCTGTGATGTGTCGGTTGCCCGTTATGTCGAGTCGGACGAGGTTGTCGCCGAGGGTTGTGTTGGTAATGATGTCGGGGAAGTCGCCCGACAGCTGGTTGCTGTACACCCACAGAACCTTCATGGGCACTTCGCGGAGCGTCATCGGGATGGAACCTGAAGAACAACACACAACGACAAAGATACTCGCCACACGCGTCGATTGTATGTAAGAAGGAATGTCTCCACGCACCTTCAAGCCTGTTGCCGTCCAGCATGAGCTCATTAAGGACGGAGAGATTTCCCAGTGACGGAGGGATCTGGCCGCCGACTCGATTGCCTCTCAGATCGAGCTTGCGCAACTCCCTCAGATTGCCCAGGCGGGGGGGCATCTCACCTGCCATCAGCGAGACTTATGTGAGCATGCACACGAGTCTGCTCGTGGGTGTCTTCATCTGTACCTGTGATGTTGGCTCCCCTTATATCCAGTACCCTCAGCTGCTTCAGATCGTCAATGTGCTCAGGAATGCGACCTACAGGCACGCACAAACATATGTAGGCAGTCGGATGTCCCCACTCGTTTTTATCACTGTCTCGACCTTTGGCTGATGCGGGTAGATTCTCGAACCGAATGGCCAGGACGGTCAGGCTCCGATACCGCAGGACACAGTCGCCCACTTCGACATCGGGAGGCGTCTTCATCGCACGCACGTCCACTATTATCATACCGACGTTGCCAGGCTCGCCCACTTCACCATCCGGCCTTTCCGCTGCCGCACACTCCTGTCCGAACAGCGGCGCCAAGGTGCCTGAAAAGTGCCAGTCGACGGTGAAAAGCACTCGCATGTGCCGCAGCTGGGATATCTTCTCGTGCGGGAAGGGCACCGGGTCCTCGAGCACTTTCACGTCCTCATATTGGTCGGTCCACACGAGGGCATATCCCTCCGTGTGGCTGGCGGTGCTGTTGGAGAGATAGGGTGAGGTGGGGAAGTCGGCCTGCGAGGCGTTGAAGCAAGCCACGTACGGGAGCTTGCACACGCTGAGGTTGTCGGATGCGATGCGCTCGACGAGCGGCTGGTCGTCGGGGTGGAGAGTGGAGATCAGACTGAGAAGCACCGGCCGGTCCTCCTCGCATGCCTTGCACTCGAACAGAACTGTCCAGTTATCGCCCGACACGGCGTAGTCCCAGGGCAAATAATTGTCGAGTAACCAGTGGGTGCGGACTATGTTGAGCCGCGCCTCTTCAGGTGAAGATGCCTCCGGAACCTCGTCATCGGCGTCGTCCTGCCTGAGCCGCCGGCTCCTCCCAGCCGCTCTCCGCCTGTGTGTGCGATGGCGATGCCGACGAGACAAGCAGACTGAAAAGACACAAGGGCAGCAGTCACATGCAAAGCAAAAGAGGTGAAAGATGCGTGTGAAACACTGTCATGCGTCTGCTCATCTGACTCACCCGCAAGATGACAAGCAAACACGACCAGGATGAAGATGCTTCCCAGTCTCATCTTTGCTTCATCAAGCTGGTCTCGGCGGTCACTCTTTGACAGCGTTTGCTCCTTCTCCCCTTTTGTCTGAGCTCGCGATCGATTGCGAGCTTTCAAAAGGGAAGGAGGGGAGAGGAGAGATGTCAGGACGGTTGCTGGAGCACATCAAACTCGTAGGCACCGAGAAAAAACGATTCTGACAGGCCACTGACTGCTTCACATCTCAATCTCCCTTATCTCCCGATTCAAATTGCTCCCTTTTCTGCAGGCACTTCCTCGGATAGTCACTCATGAAAACTACAAGTCCATCACACCACGCCAGGTGCGGCGGCTGCTCGAACAGCACTTCGCTATGGCGGAAAACGAACTCGACACCCACAAATACGTAAGCGCAGATGGATGCATTGAAAGGCCTGTCCTTCACGGCGTTCTTTCCATTGGTTGGCTGCGCAGGAGATCAATGACATTCTGTTCGACCATGCCACCCAGCTGACGACGTCGGCGGGTGCGCAAGGGGCGGCTCCTGCGCGTCCCGCTCGTAGCGAGTCTGCCCGTGCTGCAGCAGCGCCGGTCGAGACCGTAGTGATTGAAGATGAACCAGCGGCGGGAGGCGCATCTGAGGTCCAATCGTCTTCATTCGGCGATTTGCCGACAGAGGTACGACACGTGGGCACTGATAGGTACGTGAGGAATGGACCCTCCTCTGTTGTTTTGGATTTGCAGTTGTTGTTCCTGATAGCGCCCTTCTTGTATCTGCATGAGTTGCTGAGGTTCCTGAGGGTAGACAGAACATGCGCTGGGCTGGCAGGTCAGGTAGAGCATGTCAGATCGGATCACTTCCTGGTCCGCACCCGTGTGTGCGTTGCAGGCGACGAGGGCATGTGGAAGGAGGTGTACGACCTGCTGCCCAAGCCGAAGGAGAGGGGGGCGGACAACAACGCAGCCAAGAAGAAGCCGGACCACGACGCTCACGACAAGAAACCACACGCCAGGAAGAGAATGAAACACCAGGGTGAGAGAAAGAGAGGAAGCAACAAGATTGCCCACTGACCGACCATGCCCATCCTGTCTTTTCCTTCTTCATTCCATCTCAGCGTTGCCGGTCGAGCTGCGGCCCCGGCCTGCGGTGAAGGCGAGGCGTGCACACGAAGCGGCGGTAGCAGCATCGCAGGACGGCGTGTCGTGGCGGGACAGGTGCAGGGAGTACGTCAGGGAGCGGTGCTATGACTGCGGGCGGACGACGGAGAAGCCCATCAACGGCGGCATCAAGCTCATGATGTGTAGACTGTGCAACATGAGCTACGAGACGTACGCCAGGGCCGCACAGGGGGGCGATTGAAGGTGTTTTAGTGAGTGAGCGCATGGCTGTTGTGGTCTCTATTTGCGTGTCAGGCATCGTCGCGACCGTCAGAAGTTCATATCGCCGACACACGTTGACCTCTACTTCGGCATCAAAAAGCAGACACTAAAAGACAGTAAGCGACACCACACAGCCGCGCAGTCTGCAGAGCACATTCGGGTGAAATGTATCTGTGTGCTTCTCTGTGTGTGCGTGCACGTGTGTGCGTCAGGGTCGTTGGTGTATGGGTACACGGACAATCCCATTAGCCCCTCCTTCATGACCATGAACCTCTGTATGTTAGCCACCAGCTTACCCACCCGCACACTCACCTATCCGTCTGACACACAGGATCCATCTCTATCATTCAGATTTCCTGAATGACATCCAGAATCTCGCCAAGAAGCTCAAGCGCGGTGAGACAGACAGACAGACAGACGGACATGTACTCAGGCAGCCAGCCGTTCAGCCACGATATCAAGGTGTGTTGGTTTGTATGCGCAGAGCACGCCGAGGCCGAGAGGGCGAGGGAGCGGGAGCGTCGCATAGAGGAGAGGAGGAAGCGGCGGGAGCCCATCGACATCTCCGACCAGGACAAGGACGAGGCAAAGCACCCCAACAACAGCAACAAGGACAAAGGCAAGAAGCGGGTGCTGCCAAAGTCCTTCGCACAGCCCAAGAGGGCGCGCAAGGCGGCCAAGAAATCCCCACACACCGACGAGCGTGAGGACGAGCAGGAGGCAGCTGAACCAGCAGGACCATCAGCAGCACCAGCACCAGAAGCCGGGCCCAAAAGGAGGGCGCGTCGTGTGGGTGGCGGGCGTGTGCACGGCGTCAACGACTTGTCGGCTTTGCGCGCATCCTAGAATGTACAGCTGGTGAGTGAGTAGTGCGGGAGGGAGGGAGGAAGACAGGCCAGTTAGGGAGTCCCTCCAGTGTCAGAGGCATTGGCCGTGTGCTGAGGCTGATGCTCTTGGAATGGAGGGGAGACAGCATAAGGCGGGGTAGCTGGGAGTGCCTGACCCAATGACTCTGTCACTAGTGACGGCAACACCTTATCGGCTCCGGCACAATCCATGCATCGGTGTACGCCAGCCGGTGTGTGCATCCTGTCTCACTTCTCCCACTGCTCTCTCTGTCTGTGTATGCTGTCTGCCTCAGGTTTCTCGTCGCCCGGCTGCGTTGCATGTCCGCGGGAGTGAGGGAGGGAGGGGGGGAGAATGGATGTGTCCGCCGGCTAGTTTGTCGATTCGAGGAGCATCCTTTTCCCGATGCCCAAGTGTATACGTGGGCAACATGGATAGATGCTCGAGTGTGAATGCTGTGTGTATGCGATGTGCGAAGGTGGACGCCGAATGTGGACGCAAGAGTGTGCTCGAAAGAGAGTACTGTACAAAAAACACGGCGGACGATGCATCACCACACACCACAAATCAGGTCGGTCCGACACGTCACACCACACCACACCACACCACACGACACACGTCCATCCATCCGTCCATCCGCGTCACCACCTGTGTGTAGCGGCTGTCGTCCATGTGTGCGATGGGTGCACTGCACCCCGCCCACATACACAGCCAGGCTTGTTGGATAAAGGGCACATTCATTATGATGGAACGCATCACAGCAGCCATAAATACGCAGCCACAGCAAGCACCGAACACAGAGAGATGCACACACACACACTCACACCACTCAGGAACACACACACATCCATGCAGCACACGAAAATCAACACCGAGAGAAGGCAGACCATTGGGCAGGCAGGCAGGAGAGTGATGAAAAAAGCGACGCTTCCACACAGACGGACAGAGAGGCCGACAGGCAGGCAGGTTGTGTGTGTGGAGAGCGCGCACGTCAGAGTGTACCATGCCACATGCACACCACCATATCAATCATGCACTCATGCACACACACGTCCTTCAGAAAAAGGCATCCACTCACGCAACGCACGACACACACCAATGGTGTTCCCTCTCTGTCTCTTGCCGTCGGTGGGAAGGGGCCCATGCACTGCACTGACGGCAACAAAACGACTCACTCCGCCCACCGTTATCAATCGACAACAAGGCAGGGCTGACTTCGTTCCTTTCTCCTTCTACGCCGAGTGTGATGTGTTCCCCAACCTGCCACCAATGTTGCGAGGCGATGTCAGGCGCCATGCACCACAGATGGCAATGGGCAGCATGAGAGAAGGCACACCACAGACAGAATGACCAACGTCACACCACGCCCAGCCAGTCGGTCGATCAACCAATCAATCAATCGCTCACTTCATTCCCTGACTGCATCCGTTCGTCCCTCCACCCATCCCATTCTCCATCCGTCGATCCCGCCCTCCCGGCCCATAAATATGGCGCACACACAAAAGCACACGCAGGCAGTCATGATGCACACAGAAAGACAGACAGACAGAGAGATGAAGGCATGCAGGCGAGTGTAGTGCGTGAGAGAGAGAGCAGCTACGTCGACTGAGTGAGTGAGTGAGTGATGACTGCCCCCCGACAGACCCACCGACCGACCGATTGACCGACCAACCAAACTAGGCCGCCTCAGCTTTGTGTGCGAACAGGTGGACGCAGACAGACTGACAGACAGACAGACAGACCAACAGCCAGACAAGTACAAGTACGAACGATTGCGCCCCGCCGTGCCACGCATTGACGCATGGAAAAACAGGCAGGCACACCACACGCAGGTCATGGATGTATGCAGAGAGAAGCAGACAGTGAGACAGACAGGCAGACAGGGAAGTAAGAAAGTAAAACGACAAGACACGCGCTCAGGTACGGCTGGTGCACTTGTGCGTGTGTCCGTGCCGACCGTATGCAGCACAGCACAGCACGGCACACGCAGAACCGCCTGGGTGAGTGCACTGCACACGATGTGTGTGGGGGAGAGGGGGTGGGTGGGGTATGAGGGTATGAAGGGATGGACAAACAGACAGGATGGTACACTACGCTACGCTACCTACGCTACGACGGCCTTAGACAACACCGTACAACCGACACAATCTGCCTGCCTGCCTGTACACACCCCTCTCCATCCCTCCCACCACCCACTTACGCACTGCTCAGCACACACACGGATACGATGCTGTCTGTCTGCCTGTCTATGGGTCTCTAGACGTTCGTCCGACGAATGAATCTGGCAAAAACCGCTTCTACCTACGAGAAGAGCACACACGCCCCCTCCCCTCTCCACGCGCACACCAACCAGACACACGCCAAACAGTGAGTGGGTCAGTGGGTCAGTTGGGTGCCGACACGGGTCGTGGCTCCTCCTCCCTCCGTCTGAAGACGGGCGTGTCCTCCCACCCCTCTGCGTTGCCGTCCCTGTCGAAGCCCAGCTTGGAGAGGCGCTCCTTGTGTGGCTCCCATGTGGTGGCGACGGACAGCTCCTTGAGCATCGGCAGCCGCCTGGCCTCCATCCTCGCCAGCAGGTGCTGCAGCGACCGCTGCCCGCCCCCGGCCGAGTAGTCGAGCAGCCGCAGCTCCACCAGGTTGGGCAGCGTCGGCTCCAGCACACGCAGGAGGTCAATCGAGAAGCTCGACTCCCTCTCGCGCGCCGTGCTGCTGCTGCTGCCCGTGGTGGTGGCGGTGGTGTGTGTGTCGTCTTGCTGCATGGGGTCGTCTTGGTCGTTGTCTCCCTCGCCACCGTCGTGGTCGTCGTCCTCGGCGTCGACGAGGACGATGAGTCGTCGGAGATGTCTGAGGCGCATGAGCCACTCCTTCCATGTCTCGGGGAGGTGGCGCATCTTGGGCAGCGGACGCACACCCAGATACATCAGGTTGTCGCACTTGAACCCGCGGCGGAAATCTACCTTCCACCTGCACACACACACACACACACACACAGACAGACAGCATGTTGATGGCGGTATGCATGACGCTTCCATGGCGCCCGCCTGCTCACCAGTCGTCGCAGGCGCGCAGGTAGATGAGGTTGTTGAAGTCAACTCCTGGGAACATTGCTGAGATGCCTGCACCATCAACACAACAGGAGATTCAAATGTCATCAATCCAATCAATCCAGCTAGACTGACTGACTGACTTACTCACCGAGGAAGCCCGCCGACAGGTCGATAAACTGCAGGGAGCGGTGGTTGGACGAAAACACCTGAATCAATGAACCAACACACACCCACACACCAGACTCTCCATCTCTCTCCGTGTGTGCCCGTGTGTGGTGTGTCCCTACCTCCTCGAGTTCCTCGGCCAGGTATGGCACTGACGAGTTGAGTTCGAGGATGTTGAGCATCTGGAAGCGACGCAGTAGCACGGGGATGTGGTTCTCGGCCAGCTGGTCGATCCGGCCCTCAGGCGTCAGGATCAACCGACGCACCCAACGCGCTCTTAACAGACACACACATTCCCAAACACACAGATTCCCAAAGCGTCCATCACTCGCCAGCTGCCGCGCCAATGGCCGTGTGCGTGCCTTACCTCCTGTGCAGCAGGTTTCTGAGTCGTTCAGTGGGGTATCCCAGGAGCTTGTTGAGCCCGTCCTTGGTGGTGAGTTCGATGGAGAAGCACGAGCCGGGCTGCCGCGATGCCAGTTGGAAGAACCGGCAGGCCGTCGACGCCGCCAGCATGTTCTCGAACTTGCAGAACGACAGGATGTTGACGACCATCTCGCGAAGCAGACCCGGCGGCTGCTCCGTGATGCCCAGCACCGCCAGCAGCGCCGCGCCCTCCTTGCCCGTCAGCAGGTCGACGGACGTCGCCTCCTCGCTCGCCGGAAAGCAGCTCGAGGCCGGCTTGGCCTGTCCGTCGCCCTCCCTCGGACTGATGTCCATTTCGGTCGCCTCGCTTGTCGGGGAAGGGGAGGAGGACGAGATGCTGGTGACACTGGAGGTCTGTCGTGACGACGTCCCCTTGCGGGAGAGATCCACGATCTCGGAGGGGTCAGCATCTCCGCCGCGGATGAGGGACCTGACGCACACACGACACGCAGATATATGAACACACAGATACTCTCACCCCATGCGTGCGCATGGTGCGGCGGTGAGGCGTACCCCAGGCCTTTGAGTAGCAGTCTGCGGAGCTGTGGCTGGCGCATACACTCCTCCAAGATCTGGTCACCCGAGAGGTCAAGTTCCCGGAAGGCCGACAAGTGGATGGGGTACGTTGACGCGCCCGACCGGTGCATGGCGTCGAGGGGGGAGAGGGACGGGAAGGAAGGGGGAATCTCGGGGTATCAGCCGCGGTAGTCACACCCAGGCCAAGAGGCTGCCGCCGGGGGAACGGACACCACACTTCAGTGGTTCGATAGGTGTGTAGCGCAAAACCTCAAGGACGGGGAACGTCCCGAGCGAGGCGACGCGTTTCTGATCGTCTTGAGAGAGCGGTTTCACGAAATTCCCTCCTTGAGCTTTTGGTTGGAGGCGCGGTCATTCTTCCTTCTCCGCCGCGATGCATCATCTTCGATTGGTCCTCTGCCGGTGTGCGTTCGTTCTCGGCGGACCGCGGAGTCCTTCAGCCGTCAGGTGTGAACAGACCCACGAGGAGTCCGGAGAGCTTGCGGACGCACACGGAGAGGGCGAGAAGGAGCTGTCCTATCAGCTGCGAGTCCACAGCGTGAAACTGGCCCTCGAGGGAAGCGGTGCCGGCGAGGTTACCAGGCGATTTGGGCACCTGTGGAAGGCCAGGGCCAAGAGTGAGTCGCTTGTCAACGCCGACATCGACTTTTCGATTCGGCGGGTTGGGTGGGAGCAGACGGCCGATGTGGCAGAGACTGAGTGGTGGCGGGCAACGCTGAAGCAGCAGGGCAATGTCGGGCTGACTTCACTCAGGCACATGGAGATATGCATCGAAACAAAAGGTAAGACAAAGAGAAACACACACGCACACAACCAGACGGACGGACGGACCGACGCAACATGAACATGTCCGAGTCCGTCCTTCTTTGCTGCTTGTTTTGCCTTACTGCAGGGTCTGCGAAGCTCATAAGCCCTCCCTCTCCCTCCGAAGAATCCTCCCATCCACCGGGCAAGTCGGCATCGGAGGAAAAAGAAGAATCCATCGAGCCCAGGTCGCAGGAGCACTATCGCACCGGGCCTCTAATGGAGTACAAGGACTCCGACTTCGACCAGCTGCCCCTATTCAACGCCTGGCAGGTCGCCGGCGCGCGGGTCCACGCTCTCTTGGACGTCACCGGCGTGCTCGGCAGCAGGACCGCCGTCGACGACGAGAACTCGCTGGTCGATGCTGCCAAGGCAGGGGCCAAAGTCAGGGTCAGTGGGCGGCTGTACTTGCGGCCAAGATGGGCGTCTGAGCGCCGGCAAGACGACAGGAAGACCGCAGACAAGAAGGGGGCAAGGCGGGATGGGAACACGGAGGGGGAGGTCCCGTCGTCAGACCGCGAGTCTTCCCGCGTTTGGGTGGACGAGGGCACCGTCAACAGCTCGCTCGAGAGCGTGGAGAAGAAGATGCCCATGGCCGCTCGGCCAATTGCCTCGGAGCTCTACATGATGGTCATGAAGGCAATCGGAGAGGACGATGACACACTGGAGGAGATGGTTGAGCTGGACAGGCGGACCCTCTGCGAGCAGGCCCACGCGAGGAGCCTCCTCTACCTCAAGCAGCACCCGCCCGCCAACTTCCACCAGCTGGTCGATGTGTCACCCTGGAACGCCCCTTTTGCCGTCGTCCGCAACGTTCGCGAGTCTCTCCAGCTTGCCGAGTCGTCCATTGCGTCGAATGCCGGCCTGGCGGGCCTCCTGCCCACACCCGAGCTGCAGTGGGCGTTCTCCCATGGCCTGATCGATCGCGTCATGTCCCGGGCTGACATGAAGATAGCAGCTTGCACCCCGCCACCCACCACCCAAGAGCACGTGGACGCCATCGTCGAGTCGGCGTCGACCAAGGTGCTGCATGAGTACTTCCCCGCCTACCCGATATGCGAGCATCCGTTGCTGACGAGGGTGAGAAACAGGGCGAAGCAGCTGCTGGCTGCCAAGAAGCCGCCATCGCTGGCGTGGGTGGCGCTGCGGCAGGCTGCAGCCATCGCGCTGATGTCGGCGGTGCCAGAGGAGGTTCGGGAGTGGCTGCGGGCGAATGTGGGAACCCCAATTCCTGCCTATGCGCCCTATGGCGATCAGCTTGATGGCGATGATGGATGGGTGCCGACATAGACGAAAGGATGGGATGGGATGGGGCAGACGGCTGCGGCCGGCTGGATGTCATATCGACAGACACTCGTCAGTCAGGAACGACTCGTCGTGGTCGATAGATTGGTGCGTCTGGGTGGGGTGGGGAGTTTGAGGAGTGAGAGTGAGGCGGTGGATGGATGGATGGATGGGGTCTTCAGGGATGGATGGGGCAGAGATTTGTGCCGATAGACTGACTGACAGGGTAGGGTCTGCGTATTTTTGCGTGGCAGGGCAGTAGGTAGGTAGGTGTATGTATATCGGACGGACCCATTTGTGTTCATCGTAGCCATGCAAGTGTGTTCAACACTCTGTGTGTAAATGCCATCCATCCACTGCTATCATATGCACACGAGTCCTCACACCAAAATGGGACATACACTGCCTGCGTGCCTGCCTGCCTGCCGCTAGGCTGCCTCAACTGCTTTCTGGCCGTCCTGTGTGGCGATATTGGCTCGATGAATCCGGTCCAACATATGCACCCCAGCCAACACAGGGGGATACCTGACACACACGCGCGCACACAGCAGACAGACCGATCAAACGAGTGAGGTACATCGACACGGTTGGGTGTGTGTGTGCGCGCACGCACTTTGGGTGGTCGGCGTTGACCAGTGGGGTGAGGGGCGTCTCAAAGTTGCAGCAGCAGAAGTAAGCTATCGAGTACCGGTGCTCTGCGGTCGGATTGCGGGCACGGTGGACGGTCGACTTGAACCTGCCGTTACTCCACCTGGCCAGCATGTCACCTGAAGAACAAACATCTCACACGCATCGCTTCCACAGAAAAGACATCCCCGGACGGACCGCTATGTGTGGTGTTTGTCGCCGACCGATGTTCACAACGAAGTCCGTGCCGTTGGGTGGCACGGCCACCCACTCGTTGTCGTCGTTCATTATCTCTAACCCAGGCACGCCATCCTGCGCCTGCACGCAGACATCCAACACACACACACACACATGAGATATATAACCAGGAAAGAAACAGCGAAACACACCAGTAAAGTAAAACACTCGTAGTCGGTGTGGGCGCCGATGCCGAGCTGGCGGGGGTGACTGCCGCTGTACGGGGGATAGTGCAGGCAGTTCATCGAGTTCATCGGCTCGGTGATGAAGGGGCCGAAATGGTCCTCAGGCAGGCCGAGAAAGAGGGCGATGAGTCGGTACATCCTCAGCGCCACCTCCCACACCCGCCTGTAGTAGCAATCGATCACATCCCGCCAGGCAGGCAGGCCATCCGGAAAGACGTTCGGGGCGAATAGCGTTGCTGAACAGACCCCCACACAAGAAAGCGCTCCTGCAAAAACAGCGGCAGCAGTGCCCCACGCACATGCGTACCGTGATAGTGGGGATGGGACTCGCTGAGCTCCGTTCCCATCGTGAAGACCTTCAAGGCAAAGGGCGAGAGAGAGAGAGAGAGAGATCCTCGCTGTCTGGCAACGCGCTCCATGTGTGCACACCTCTTTGTAGTCGAGTGGCAGGCCGTCCTCGCCCAGCCGCACGCCCTCATCGTCAGAGGCTTCGTGCGGCGCTTGCCCTTCGTCTGCTGCTGTTGCTGCGGCTTCTGCGGCTCGCTGGTCGGCTGCATCGATGCCGTAGTTCCCTTGCTCGAACAGACCTGACTCGCAACCACGACAAAGAGGTGCATATTTGTGCGTGTGTGTGCATGCGTAAGTATCTCCGTGTGTGTGTGTGTGTACCGATGTAGCCCCGCACGCCGCCTGTCTTGGACGTGTGGATCTTCATCTTGTCTTCCATCGGCAGCGCGAAGAAGGTCTTCAGTGCCGAGAAGACCGCTGCGAACTCATCGTCCGCTATGCCATGGCCTCTCAAGTAGAAGAACCCAACACTCTCAGCTGCCAGGGAGGGACGCAGTGAGAACAGCAGATGCATCAAAATTGATGATCAAATCAGATGCTCCAGTGGGTGGAAGCGTGTGTTGTGTCATCTGCTCACCTGCGTCCTTGAGTTTGTTGCATGTGGTTGAGGGATCTTCTGACAGATCGATGACGGGGATGCTCTGCCACCCCATCTGAGGCAGATCTATGCGAGCTTTCTCCGATGGCCCGACTGATCAACCTGGCTTGGCCACGATTATGTGTTCATCCATCGCACAGAGCCGCCCGGCAGCCATGGAGGCGCCATTACAAGCTGCTTCCCCTCGGGAGAAGGTGTCGATGAGCTCTCCGCGCAAGCAGACGGTGCTGCGGCCATTGCTGTGGCAGCGGGGATGGCTGGGGAGGATGAAGGAGGACAGCCAAGAAGACACACAGGAAGAGGAGATACCGGAGGAGCTGCCAGACGATGCAGACGGCCGCAGTGATGGTGTTGATCTGGAGCTTGGGATACATCATGGGCCGTCCGCTGGATCTGTCAGCCCCACGCCATCGATTATGCCGGCAGATGGACTGCAGTGCCGCGGCGAGGCTGATGCAGATGACCTGCGCTCGGAAGACATGTCGCGGAGGGAGAGCGACCATGTCAAAAGCGGTCTGTGCTGTGTGCACATGCCATGTTTGTGGTTGTATGTCCCTGTGCAGGACAGTCAGTGTGAGGATCTGCTGATGTGGCGGGCAGAGTGGGGGGACGCGCACGAGGACATCAGGACACACATCGGCGCCTTCATCACCAATCCGGTGCACGTGGACCTTCTGGCGACTCGCATACTCAAGACCATCCGACACGTGACTTGACGTGCACCAAACACACACACACACAGGCAGACACCCTTGCAGCTGCACATCGCCTTGCTCTCCCTTTTTCTTTGCCGTTCCAGCGCTCGAATGGCGTGCAGAGTCGCGAGGTTGCTCCCTCACTGGATGCATCCATTTCGTCATCAGTCGCCATCGATAGGTTCAGGAAACAGGCACAGAGCGCCCTGCAGGTGTGGTGTGGTGTTCTGTGGTGTGGGGTTGCGCACTGAAGGCACTGCACACACACAACCAACTCCCTCTTTGTGTGTTTGCAGCGTCAGCGACTCCATGCGCTTGCAGAGCAACTGGACGACAAGGACGGCCTTATCGATGACCTGAACCGACAACTACAGAGACTCAACGACGTGGGCCACCAGCACACGGCACACGCAGCACAGGCATCTGATCTCGTTCCATTTGTTCTCTTCAGGAGAAGCTGGCCGTGCACAGGAGCCTCGAGGGCGCCCTGAGGGAGCGACGTGATCTAGAGGGCGACCTCACGGAGGCCGACAACACTATCGAAGACCTCAATCGCAAAGTGCAGGTACTTACCACCCACGTTCGCACAAACACAGTTGCGTGTCTCTGTGGGCGTGTCGCTGTCAGGATCTGACGGAGGAGCTGAGAGCACGAAGGACAGATGCAGGGATGCGTACGGCAGCAGATGAGAGACACACATGGGAAAGTCGGCTATCTGCCCGATGGCGGCAGCAGGGTGGTGACCGATGGCCGCCATCAGGCCGACATGACATCGCAAAAGAGGAAGAAACCGCTTGGTAACAAAAGGGCGGACGGGCCGACCCTCCGGAATGACTTTGTGCGTTTGTGCTTTGTGTGTGGGGGTGTGTGTGTGCCTTTGTGTGTGTGTTCAGTGCTGTAGTGCAGTTGGAGAGCGAGAATGCCGCTCTGCAGTGTCGGCTGGACGCAGTGGTGCGGCAGCACGACCAAGACCGGCACACATACCAAGAGATCAAACACAAGGTCAGTAAGACGAGCCTCCGCCTTCATAAGATCGAATCAATGGGCGTCGTGTCGTCGTGCAGAATGATGACCTGTTGAGGCGGATAGCCGAGTACGAGGGCGTCTCCTCTCCCCGCGCACTCACCACCGAACCGAGACAGCCAGCTGCACTGACGTGCGTGCGCACAAAGGACACATCAACGGACCACTCTTCTTCTTTCCTCTCGGTTTGTGTGCAGATGTGGTCGGCCGTCGCTGCATCGGGAGCTGTCGGATGCCGTCGATGCAGCCACACCGAGGGCCCCACCACCAGAGAACCGACAGCCACGCACTGAGGTGGACAAGGCAGTGCAAACAGATGGAGAGGAGAAGGTCAGATCGACACAGAAGGTCAGCTGGCGGAGACAGATAGTCTCGAAGGTGTGTCATGCAGAGTGGTGGTGGTGGTGGGTACCTCCGGTTGCCCCGTGCCAGCGAGGCGGCGAGAGCGGAGCTGGAGTTATGGAAGAAGTGAGTGAAACATCATACAGCGGGTGTCTCATCATGAGTATGACACACATGCTTAGTGCAGGCGAGCTTTGGATGCTCAGATGGCACACGCGGAGGCACGACAGACCATCACGGAGCAAGACAAACACGTAGGCACTTGAACATGACGCTGCGTGGTTGTTTGCATGCAATTTGCTCGTTTCAGCTTGCCCAGTGGGGGAAGAGGGTTCAAGAACTGGAGAGTGCGCTGGATGTGGCGCAAAGAGAGCTGGCGGACGAGCAGGCCTCCATGATGCGAAGGAAAGCGAGATGTACCCCTTGCGTGCACCAGTGACCACCTCTGGTTTGCATGGGATGGAGGCAGATGGCTGGTCGACAGAGTCATCGATTACGTATCTCGATCAGTGGCGATTGACAAATACACGAAGTCAGTCTCAATGGATGGATTGGTGGGTGGGGGGGGG